AGTTCAGTTCAGAATTTCTGTCCCAACATGTGTCCCCTCTTCTCACTTCTATCTCTCATAGACCCCAAGTCTCCCATGAGTATGGGGAATATTTGGCTATGGCCACATCTGATAGGTGAGTGAGTGACAGGAAGCCATCGGCAGGCAGTCTAAGGACACCATCCAGGCCCAAGCAGCATCTTTCTACAGTACTCCTTCCCCTAAAAATCTGAGGTAGGTCCAGTGGATAGTGAATGAGAACTCTGCCCTGTCTTCAAGGTAAGGGGCTAAGACTGTCATACCAGGTTATCAACAAGGGCAAGGACCTTGACTGGGGCTCTTTCTCAGCTATGCTGGATTATGTACCCAGAGCTGCCTGTCTACAAAGAGACTAGACCTTGGAGTCCAAGAAAGCAAGAGCCCCCAGAGAAATCTTCCTTCTCCAAAGCCATCCATTCCGCAGTTGTGGGTGATACCCCACCAATCCCCCCATCCATCCATCCATCCATCCATCCATCCATCTATACATCCATCTATTCATTCATTCACACATCCATCCACTCATCCATCCATCCATCCATCCATCCATCCATCCATGCATCTACCCATTATTCCTCTCTCCCTTCTGGAGACCCTAAGCATCCCAACCTTGACAATATCAATGACCAAGAATTTGTCCCTGCAACTGGAGAGTTCTCTCAGCTATGCTGGGCAGAGCAGTCAGCATTCATTCCAGTTTTTTGTTGTTGTTGTTTGTTTGTTTTTCTAAGAGACAATCTCACGTACCCCGGGTTGACTTGGAACTTACTATGTAGTCAAAGCTATCCTTGAACTCCTGGCCCGCTTGCGTCTGCAGCCTCAAGTGCTGAGATTATAGGCATGAGCCACCACACTCAGCTTTTACTTCGGACACTCCCATTGCCAATCTTTCCTCTTGCCTTGAATGCCTTTTCTTTTTCTTCTTCATTTCTGCTTGCTCCCCTCTGGGAAGCAAGTCTGAGAATACTTTCTGACCCTCAGCTTGTACCAGTTGTCTTCCTACTTAAATATCTTGGAGTCTCAGAGCTGCATGGGGTAAGCGGTGATAACAGCAGCACAGCATTGTGGGAAGGTTGAAGGGACGCTTGCAGAATCATAGAAACGTGGTGATTGACATACAGTGTGTGCAGGGCGAAACAGAAATGCAGACAATATGTTTACACCCCTCCCCGCTTAATTCAAGGAATTTCTAAGTGCTTACTGTGTGCCTGGTGCTAGGTAGATAAACAGCACACCTTCTACCGTAGAAAAGTGTATGGAACAGCCCCCGAGTTCTATCACTGAGCCAGGTTCAGCTTCAGGAAGGTCAAACTAAGAGCCCTTAGAATCACAAACCCCCAGAAAATCACCCGAGAGCAGGATGGCAGGTTATGCTGCCCCCTGGTGTCAGCAAGTTCTTGCTCATGTGCAACCTTAAAATTCCCTTGCAGGCTGTGGGCAGCTAAATGATCAGAATCTTCCTGCAAGGCAAAGGATTGGGTGCAAATTCAAACTTTCCTCCTTTGGGAGGCATGCCCCAAATACCTAATTTTCCAGGAGCTCCACCATCAGCTCCAATTCTTAGCTGCCTTTTTGGACTTCCTTTGATAGCCCCAGACTTCAAGCCAGTCATTTCCCTAGTGGACTCTGGAGTTGGGGTGGGCTCTGATGTGGCTGAGCTGAGCCAGCTGGTGCATGTTTGCACCTGTTTGGGCAGATGCCTCTCACTTCAGCCTCGTATAGCCATGCCTTACTCAATAGAGCCAGGTCTATGTCCTCAGAACAGGGATCAGGGCTGGAGACTCATCTCTGTCTCTTTATGGAGCCCAGTCCCAGTGCAGGCCAACCCGGGATGCAACTATTCTGCTAACATAACAGTCCTGCACAACACTCCTGGCCTCCAGTCTTTTCCTCTTGACTCAGCCTGGCCACTGTGTCTAAGCAGAGGGCTCTTCTGTGCCCCCCGACAAAACCCTCTTCTCCATGTTCCAACAACCCAGTTCCCAAGGCAGAAGACCCTGAAGACTCAGCCCTGAAGGCTCACATGGTTCTCTCTGCATAACTCTGACAGCTCTGACTTCCTTCACCCGGCACTTGGCCTACCTTTGTCTGACAAACGCCCTGCGTCCCCGCAGAAACCCATAAAGATGTCACTGGTGGGTCAGGTCTGAGGTTAAACAGGTTGGACCTTGTATAAGAGTACAGGGCTACATCAGCCTGAAGGGAGGGGTGCCTTTTAGAAATGAATCCATCAGGAGTGGCCCCTCTTTACAGTCTGCACGCAGTGTCATAGATATGGGCAGGAGTCCCAACCCGCTGATTCCATTGTGCTTGGGTGTGTGGAGGGCACAGTTCTTATCAGACTGAGCACCTGATTCACGCTAGATCCACATCATTGTCTCTTTGTTTACAACTCAACATTCAGGTGAGATCTAAAATGGCCAAGTACTGTGCAGCTCAGAGGCGTGGCTGCTGTCTTCCGGGATGCTCTTTCCTCTGTCTTTCCCTGAGAACTCTTGAGGTCAACTTTTGCCAGATCAAGCCTTGCTTCCTTTGGGGTACAATAAGTCACATAAAGCACATAAAGAGTGACATTGATTCAGGAGTGCCCTCCTGTTTGATCGAGCGGCAGGAATATGGTAACTACACTGGGATCCTGCACTACAGAGTAGAATTCATCCTTGGGTGAGAGAGAGAGAGAGAGAGAGAGAGAGAGAGAGAGAGAGAGAGAGAATGCATGTATGTGTTAGTATGCATTTCTCATGTCTTTCCACCCAGAGAAAGCCTGGGATCCAGTCCCACAGAGGGCAGACACATGCTCTATAAAGCCCAATTCATCGGGAGCATAGCATACAAGGAAAACCCTAAGTCATACTCATCCTTCTAGCAAACAGAGCAGCTGGGCCTAAGTGGAAGCAGCTGCCACCCATCCCAGGAAAAGCTCTGCTTGACTCTCCAAGGCCCTTGTAGAGCCCCTCAGTGAAGCAGATCCCCTTTTCTCATTCAAGGAGGCATGACAGAAGGCCAGCCTGTCTCAGTGACAGTTGTATGGGGTGTCTCTCACGGGCTACTGATGACCCCTATCACAAGTGTGGTTCTGTAGCCTCCAGACACTTTCCTGAAACCACAGATGACCAAAGCTTCAGAACCAAAGACCAAAGCTTGAACACATGCTGGATGGGGTTCTTTCTGGAGGAGGACAAAGGGAGCCAGCCAAGTACTGGGAAGGGGTGCATAGGCTTCTCATCATAGAGGCCATAAAAAGTCTGTTAACCACTACCACCACCACCACCACCACCTACCATCATCACCACCACCACTGGTGGTTACACATGACCCCAGTTCTAGCCTGTCCTTGCCTGTTGGGCACACAGCAAGACCAGAGTGGCCTGAGCATCCTGCCACCAGACACTGGCAGACAGAAGGAGCTTAGGGAGCTGAGGGGATTAGAGAGGCCTTATTCTCCCAGCTCAGGGAAAATGTTCCAGTGGCCTAACTCAGGACAATTGTGGGGGGTGGGGAAATAATTACAAGGCCCATCATCCTCCCCACCACATTCAGGCCTGATCTAAGCAGACACTTGTCATGGGTGGATCAACTTAAACTTGAGTTCAAATGCCAGTCTTCCGGGTATTATCCATACGGCATTGGTTAAGTCAGTTGCTGAATCTCAACAGGTACCATCAACCCTCTAGGTTTTGCTATGAATACTAAAAAACAAAACACATGGCTCACAAAAGGATTAACCTCTGCCCTTCCTTTAGCTCAGAAACAACTTTGCTACCGCTCCAGTGGAACTGTCTGAATATCAAATAAATACTAGCATGCATAGAGCATTTACCCTGGCCTACGCCAGGTATAACCACATTAAACATCAAGCATTTTCATATAAATTATCAGGCTTATTCTGCATAGGACTAGGGCCAGGGTTGGGTTGGAGACCCTGGAGAGGTACTAGCTGGAGACCTGGAGAGGAGGAGGTCAGTATGGGGAAATATTGAAGGGATGGGTCTGTGGAGAGAGTCCAGGTGTGGTTGTAGGGATTTGGGGAGAGTGCGAAGCAGGGATTCCTCAGGGGTCCATTAGCTTTCTCAGAGGGTGCAGGGATGAAAGCTGATTCCTGTGAGGAACGGGGAAGCCAGGACACAGCCCTGGGCAGAGCTAAGGGGCAAGTAACCAGCCAGTCTTGTCCTCTGGCTAAAGGGCAGTAGCGACCAGTAATGAGAAGGCTCTGGCTGGAATCAGGAAGCCCCCAGGTCAGCTCGGGCTGTACAGTTCACCTCTGGGACCTCGGGGGCAACACCCTTGGGTTTTGGTCTCTGGAGATGGACACGGACACAACACAGAAAATCTGCCCTTCCCTTGGCTCAGGGCCTAATCTGAACACCGGTCCTCACCACAAGGGGAGAGGGGCTTGAAGAATGAAGCGAGGTTGTGGGGGTCTCAGTGAGCAAGGCCCTTCCTCTGGGCTGACAAAGCTGCTTCCCCAACACAGACCCGGGGCCACCGCCAGAATTGGGGGGCGGCTAGGGGACCTTGAAGGGACCGCTCAGCAGCCGCAGCACAGCGGAGGGCTCCGCAAGGTGGGGATGTCACTCCCGCACCCAGGGCCGAGATACTACAGCTTCCCGGAGATGGAGGTCGGGATCAGACCGGAACTTACCCGCAAACAGCCAGAGAGAGCCTCCCGACACTAGGAAGAAGGTCAGCATGTTGGCGAGCGGGCCCAGTCCGGGCCGCACTGCTTCCCGGGCCCACAGCCCCGCAGCCCCAGAGTCGCCGCCGCCGCTGCCGCCGCCGGGTATTTTTAGCCCCCACCTCCCCGCGCCACTGCGGAGACCCGGCGGGAGGGGGAGGGCGCGGCGCGCGCTGCTCACGGAACCCGACTCCCAGCCCCGCAGCGCGGCCGGGACTCTTGGGCTAAGAAGAGACAGCGGCGTCCGAACCGCCTAGCCCGACTGGGGGAGGGGCCGGCCGCCCGCCCCGCAACGTTCCGGGGGAAACGGGTTGGAGGGGGAGCGCTCACGGGTGCACTGCCGCTGCCATTCACCCTTCCACCCACGAACGACCCTTACCTCCGCACGACCCGCCGCCAGGGCTTTATGGCGAGGCAGGCTCAAGTGGCAGCGGGGTCCAGGACTTCTGTCCCAGGAAATACACATGCTGATGGGCCAGTTCCCGGCTGACGCCCCCTGGGACGTGATTTTGTAGACACTGGGAGTCACATCTGCAAGCCCGAGAGAGGAGGAAGTGATTGGGGGCTCTCTAGGTGAGGCTAAATTGAATAATGCCCAGACATAATGAGAATGCGCAAGGTCAGGTTGGAGGCCACACAAGGTCACAGGAAGACTCACCAGCTGCCAAGTAGTCGGTCACCAATCCTCAGGCATGTCACATGAAGCCACAGGCAGCCACATGGAATCACAGGTGCCTTCCGAGGACTCAGGCAGGGATGGTTATGTGTGTGGTACATGAGAGTTCAGGTTCCTTAGCTATGATAACCTGCTAAAAAGCCACCAAGTTGCTGATGGTGTTGGAATCCCTCTGTCTGGGAACAAAAGGAGGAAGCCTGATTCTGCGATTTTCCAAAAGAATAAAGGTAGGTATTCTGATGGAGGCTCCATGGCCATCTTCAGGTGGATTTCACGAAGTTCTCCCTCAAAATTCTTCCTTGTGTTCTTGTTCAAGCATTCAGGACCCACTAGGTCTCCAGCACCGAGGACAGCGCTCAGGCAGTCTAGCCCTCTCTATAGGCAGCCAGGCACTAACTGAGATCAGGACCTGGACCAGGAGAAAGAGGGTGAGAAACCAGACAACAGACATCAGGAAGCAAGGGTGGATAGGTAAGATCGCTTGCTCTTTGTGTACTTGAACTCACAGCTGGGCTGCAACGTGTGTGTGTGTGTGTGTGTGTGTGTGCTGTGGGGAGAAGGTTGTCCTGCACCTTTAGTATTGGCATATATATCCAGGACTACGTGTGTGAACCTTAGCATGTGTGTACAGTCTGCAGATATATCTACAGTAAGTCTCTACACCAGACTCTTCTACCCCATTACAGGAACTGGGTCCCAGGAGGGTTACTCTTACTTGAAGTCAGGCTCTTTCTGGCAAGGGTTTTGCTGGAATCCAAACTTGGCAGACACCTCCACAAGAGAATCACAGAGGTGATGTGGCAGGATTTTTCCCAGTGGGTGACACAACAGTCAGAAACCCCCTTTTCTGTGCTCCCCCCATAGCAAACTAATTGAAAGCCTGCTCAGGAGGAGACCCAGGCAAGGGGAACTTCTAGGCTGAGCAAAAGGAGTGGATCTTTTCAAGTCAGACTGACCTAGGGAGTCAACCAGAAAGTGTCTCCATAGGCTAAGGGACTAACTGAATAGCCCAGAACAGAGCAGGGGTCCTAGGAGCTGAGCAGCAGTCTCTGGGCCCAGAACTCTGCAGCACCAAGATGCAGGAGCCTCAAGGCCTTTGGGTGGCTTCTGGCAGCCTCTTCTCCAGAGTGATGTCATGGGACACATTTAGCCTGGCCTCCTGCAGAATGTCACATCCAGTTTCTCTTCCCACAGATGCCCCTGCTTCTTGTAAGTATTACAATTCAAAAGCCTATGATTACAACTTAACCGCGTGGGGTTCTGTTTTCCCTCGAGAGGGATCTAGATGGGAAGGGCTCTGAGCTGGCTGTGGGATCACGGCCAGGTTTCTCTTCCCTCTAGACCTCTCCCCTCCACTGAGCATGACTTGTTCTTTTCTGTACTGGGTTGCCAAGGACTCCCTCCTCCTTGTGGATCTCCATATGAACCAGGCAGGTGTGACTCGGAGACCTCTAGACTTCACAGGTCCAGCCACCATGAAACATGGCAAGAGAGAAGTCGGGGCAAGGGGCTTCTGCATCCAACTGTACAGTAGCTGTGGCCTTCCATTCATTCGTTTGTTCATTTAGTCTTTAAGTTACTGTATGTTCTGTGCCATCTCCTGGTAGGAGTTAGGGTGTAGGAAGGCAGTAACAGTTGCGTAGTGTGGCAAGCCTAGAAACAGAAGGACTGTCCTACCATAACCCTGGGAAGATCTCCTAGAGGGAGGAACATTCATATTGGACCTTAGTGCAAATGCTTAGAAAGGAGGGGTCCCCTGAAAGGCTGAAGACTTGACCCCTAGGTGGCGCTGCTACTGAGAGGTGACTAGAGAGTGCATGTGCTAATTTCATCAGTAGAGTAAGCCCTTGTTGAGTTCATAGCTGAGCAGCCTATGGGGAAAGGTTGGGATGAAGAAGTAGGCACTGAAGGCATGGCTTTGAAGGGTGTGTCCTATCTCTCGATCCTTCTCTCTCCTTCTCTCTGCTTTCTGGTTGCCACAGATGGGCGGATCTTCTTCCTCTCCACCATGAAGCTCTTCCTCTCTTCAGACCCAGAAACAGCCAAGCGACTATGGACTGAGACCTCTGAAACTATGATCCAAGATAGAACTTTAAGTTGATATTTCTCAGGCATTTTGTCAGAGTGGCAGAAACTTGACACCAGCCATCCAAGTTGATCAAAGGATACCAGCTGCAGCAATGGCTCTGGTTCTATCACGGCGTTGATGCCTTGGAGAGACCTCTGCCCTTTTCTGTCTCCATTGATGCAAATAGATACTGGTCTAGAGACTTCTGGTACCAAGCAACAATTTGTTGCCTTTTCATCATCACAGTTGAGTGACAAGCCTCTGTGTCTACACCAGCCTTCATCTCCTTGTACGTTCTGCAGATGGCCATGAGAAACAGCCTAAGATGGATGGGATCTGATGATCTTGCATGTAGAATATCTGAGTCATGACCCCTTGGTATCTGTAAGTCTGAAAGGTGTTTTCAGTTCTGGGGATGGAGCCCAGGGCTTCACATATACTAGGCCAAGTGTTCTATTACTCAGAAGCATCCATAGCCATTCCTATCAGTTCTGAACATATTTTGATAATTTCCCACATTATAAGTACCTCTTTCTGGTGGGACCCAGAAAACTCACTTTTCCAGCCTTCCTTGAATCCAGGAATGGGTAAGTGAATTAGATTGTGCCAATGAAATATGTCTTCCTGAGCCTCTGATCCAAAAATCAGGAATGAGTGGGAGAAAACCCTGCCCATGGCATCCATCTTGCTGGCAGGAAAGTAGCAAAGTAATGGATGGTGTGTGACTGTGGGAGCTGTTCTTGTAAAGTTAAGGCTCTTTTTTTTTGAATCTCCCATAAATGCTATGAGCTATACAACAATTTTCAGTAAGTTCTTTTTATGCTAAAAGAAAGGAGTCCGAATGGATTTGGTGTTGTGCACAGCCATGAACTCAGTTTGTCTCCCTCATTGCCCCATTGCTCAAGCTCTTTACAGCCCTTGAAAGCTTGTGGCTACATAGCTAAGCTCACAGCATGATACATGCCTGGTCCCTCACACAGTCTCACTGTGGAAATGAAAGTTCTGGCTGGTAAGGCTTGATGAGACGGGGTCTCACTATGTAGCCTTGGCTGCCTTGAAACTCACTCTGTAGAACAGGCTACTCTCAAACTCACGGAGACCCACCTGCCTCTGCCTCCCCAGTGCTGGGAGTGCAAGCATATGCACTACCATGTTTAGCTCTTGGCTAAACTCTTGAAACTCAGTGAAGAATCCCCTGAGAAGAGGGATTCTTCATCCCTGGCAATCTTGTCTCCTTACAATATCCAGGAGGATAACTATATGTTTTTCTTTGGGTTCACCTTCTTATTTAGCTTCTCTAGGATCATGGATTATAGGATCAATGTCCTTTATTTATGGCTAGAATCCACTTATGAGTGAGTACATACCATATTCATCTTTTTGGGTCTGGGTTACCTCACTCAGGATAGTGTTTTCTATTTCCATCCATTTGCATGCAAAATTCAAGATGTCATTGTTTTTTACCACTGAGTAATACTCTAATGCGTACATATTCCATACTTTCTTTATCCATTCTTCCATTGAGAGGGCATCTAGGTTATTTCCAGGTTCTGGCTATTACAAATAATGCTGCTATGAACATAGTTGAACAAATACTTTTGTAGTATGATAGAGCATCTCTTGGGTATATTCCCAAGAGTGGTATTGCTGGATCCTGGGGTTGGTTGATCCCGAATTTCCTAAGAAACCGCCACACTGATTTCCAAAGTTGGAAACTTGAGGGTGGGGTTAAGAGGAGATGGGGAGAAAAAAGTGAGAAGGGGGGATGGGGAGAGCTTGGGGGAATGGGACGGTTGGGATGGAGGAAGGGTGGATATGAAAGCAGGGAAGTATATATCTTAATTAAGGGAGCCATTTTAGGGTTGGCAAGAGACTTGACTCTAGAGGTGTACCCAGGTGTTCACGGAGATGTCCCCAGCTAGATCCTTGGGCAGCTGAGGAGAGGGAGCCTGAAATGTCCCTATCCTATAGCCATACTGATTAATATCTTGCATATCACCATAGAACCTTCATCTGGCGATGGATGAAGCTAGAGACAGAGACCCACATTGGAGCACTGGACTGAGTTCCCAAGGTCCATATGAGGAGCAGAACGAGGGAGGACATGAGCAAGGAAGTCAGGACCTCTAGGGGTGCACCCACCCACAGAGACGGTGGGGCTGATCTAATGGGAGCTCACCAAAGCAAGCTGGACTGGAACTGATGGAGCATGTGATTAAACCGGACTCTCTGAACATGTGTCTGACAAGGAGGGCTGACTGAGAAGCCAAAGATAATGGCACTGGGTTTTGATCCTACTGCATATACTGGCTTTGTGGGAGCCTAGTCAGTTTGGATGCTCACCTTCCTAGACCTGGATGGAGCGGGGAGGACCTTGGACTTCCCACAGGGCAGGGAACCCTGACTGCTCTTTGAACTGGAGAGGGAGGGAAATGGGAGGAGGGGAGAAAGTGGAAATATTTAAGTAAAAATAATATATATATATATATATATATATATATATATATATAGCCACCCCATTGACAGCAAGGACTTTGAAGACAAAAAGCAATAACTGGGAAAATGTAATGTCTAGCTCGTATCCTCCAGGGAATAGCAGTGGGTGTCCTCTCAATAAAGTTGATCACTGAAGACCGGAGAGATGAGTCAGTGATTGTGAACACATACTGCTCTTGGAGGAGACCTGAGTTCAGTTCCCAGCACTCATGCCAAACAGTTCACAGCTGCCTATAACTCCTGCTCCCCAGGCTCTGACACCCTCTTCTGGCTTCTCCAGGCATTGTATTCACATATACAATCTTTCACCCCCATCTTCCCCTACACACACAAAATTTAAAGTAAAAGTAAATTTTAAAAATTTAGAACTTGTCTAATGTAGAAATGTTGGGAAATGCAGAGAGGTATACATTAAGGTTACCCATGAGATGGATCCGCAGTTAAAAGTGCTTGCTGCCAAACCTGATGACCTTCCTTCAATCCCCTAGACTCACATGGGTGGATGGACTCCCACAAGTTGCCCCCTGACCTCCATATGTACACCATGGCACAAGATACCCCCCATACACACATAAATAAGTAAAAGTATTTTTTGTTTTTAGTTTAAAAACCATTTTCCTTGGGGAAAAAAAGGAGAGTCATAGTGGAACAACTTGAGAAGCTCTTTGCTTTATGGAACCGCCATTGTCCAACCATCACAAGAATTACTTGAGAAGTAATTCCATTTACTTGAAAAGGTTTCTTTTAGTTGGAAACTCTTGGATGAGCTTTCCAGACAAACAACTGAAGAGACTGGGTTTTTTTTTTCCTTTAAAAAGAAATTTGAATGACTGAGGAATTAATGAATTTTTTTTTTCAGAGTTACAGGAAGACAAATCAAAGCCCTTGTAGATTCTCCTTTGTCTACCACTCCAGGCATGAAAGGTGGTCAAACCGCTAGTTCCCACAGGGAGGGTCCCAAGCATGTTTCTACGCATGTGTCTTTGGCTATGCAAGGTTGGAGTTTGTTGCAAAGCAAACTACAATGTAAACACATGGAAAAGGAAGTTGAAAATATAGATGAATGTTGTATTGGCTGGGGATGGGAAAAGTTTTTCCATGTAGAAACCACAAAGGAAGAAAAGGTTAGTAGATCCGAAGTTCTGAAACATGCAAATTTAAAACATCTGTATGTTAAAACCACCATTAAAAACTCTAAAAGATTTCTGTCCGGTGCTCCAATGTAGGTCTCTGTCTCTGTCTCCTTTCATCGTGTGATGAAGGTTAATATTCAGGAGGATGCCTATATGTTTGTCTTTGGATTCACCTTCTTATTTAGCTTCTCTAGGATAGCGAATTATAAGCTCAATGTCCTTTATTTATGGCTAGAAACCAAATATGAGTGAGTACATCCCATGTTCCTCTTTTTGGGTCTGGCTTACCTCAATCAGGAGCAGAAGGAGAGGGAGCACGAGCAAGGAACTCAGGACCGCAAGGGGTGCACCCACACACTGAGACAGTGGGGATGTTCTATCGGGAAATCACCAAGGCCAGATGGCCTGGGTCTGAAAAAGCATGGGATAAAACCAGACTTGCTGAACACAGCGGACAGTGAGGACTACTGAGAACTCAAGAACAATGGCAATGGGTTTTTGATCCTACTGCACGTACTGGCTTTGGGGGAGCCTAGGCAGTTTGGATGCTCACCTTACTAGACCTGGATGGAGGTGGGTGGTCCTTGGACTTCCCACAAGTCAGGGAACCCTGATTGCTCTTCGAGCTGATGAGGGAGGGGAACTTGATCGGGGGGAGGGGGAGGGAAATGGGAGGCGGTGGCGGGGAGGAGGCAGAAATCCTTAATAAATAAATAAATTTAAAATAAATAAATAAATAAATAAAACTCTAAAAGATGAAAAGACTGTAAAAAATATTTATGCCACTCAGCAACAAAGGATTTACTATGTCATCCAAACCAATGAGACAGAGACAGAGAGAGACGGAGACAGACACACAGGGATACAGACACAGAGACAGAGACACAGAAAGACACAGAGACAAAGACAGACAGATACACACTGGGTAGGGGGAGCTGCAGATGTAGATGAACAATTCAAGGAAGAAGAAACGATGTCCTTTATGCCATGTTTGACACTTCCTGACTGTCTATGGAAGGGGGACAGGTGGCAGCTGCCAGGGTGGTCTCGTCACCTCCCTCCAGAAAGTATAGCATAGGATTCTCTTCCCTCTAACCCTCACTGCCACCTCTGATCCCTGAGAGAGGATCCCTGAAGCCCCACTGAAGGAGAGTACTCGTCATTTTACGGTTCAATTTCTGCCTCCCTAATGTCTCCCTTCTGAGTCCCTCTTTCCCTTATCTGCCTTGGATTCCAGGGATGACCAGACTGGTTGATGGATGTCTTTAGGACAAGGGACTGAAGTCATCCTCCAACAACAGAGATTGGAACAGATAACCCACCACGTGGCAGCAATTACCTAGGCGAGGCCCTACCCTGGAGCGGGAGCAGAAATCTTCAGGGATGAAAGTGATAAAGACTTCTTCAGCTCGCCTCAACGAACCAGAACTGAGACAACGGCCTTTCGTGACTCCTTAGTTATGCATGTATCCTCCCCTTAACCCAACCCATCCTCTGTTTAAACTGAGGCTCACACGAGTTCTCCAGAGATAAATTTTGGGTCACTGCTTGTCTGTTACTCTTCCCAACAGGGCCACTTCGATTAGACTTCCTTTCTCTGTCTTTCACTGCTACTCCTCTCTCTCTCTCTCTCTCTCTCTCTCTCTCTCTCTCAAATTTTTTTTTGGAGGCACAGAATGTTCTAGGTTGGCCTCAAACTATGTAGCTGAGGATAACCTTGAATTTTGGATTCCCCAATCTCTACTTCCCAAGTGCTGGGAGTACAGTCATCCACAACCACACCCAGTCTATAGTGCTGGAAGGAGACCCAGGACTTCGTGTTTGATGGACAAGCACTCTACCAATTGAACTATATACCCCGGTTGCACCCATCTCTTTAGTTGCTGTATTGGGATGAGGGCTGAACTTAGTCTGTTGGGATTCCCGGGACTGGGACTTTTGTATAAAACTCCAGCAACACCATCACTTTTTCCATCTACTCAAGACACAGATTATTTTCCCGAGTAGCCAGTGAGGCATCAAGCTCTCTTACCTCAATCCAGGATAAATGGTTTCCAGCAATAAATCAGAGATGGAAAGATAATGTGGATGTCTGAGAATCTGACATCCTATAGATCTTTTGGCAAACCAAGTCACAAAGTTCTTGCCCATTGGTGACCGTCGGCATTTTTACTTAGGAGTTAACGCAAAGCAAGAAAAATCAGGACTTTATGTGCCTAACATATTATTGCCACCACCACCTCTGGACCTTTCAGTCTCTGTAAATTTGCCCAAGACCCCCAGTTCTGGTATGCCATTAAAGGACCACGGTGAACTAGGGTTGGGGACAGGGCTGGAGATGGCAATAAGGGCCTTCAGAGTAGCTCATGTCTGCGTAGGAAGAAGAAAGGGAGGGAGAGAAAAGGGAGGAGATCCTGTTAGAGTGGAGGAGGGACTCAAAGAGGTTGAGGGAGGACAGAGGAGAATTCTTAAGAAGTGGTGCATCCCCTGGAACTGGAAAGATGCACCCCATTCTCAGAACACGTGAGGAACTGAGGGAGAACAGGTGCACTCAGCTTCCTGGCTGCTGGCCAGGGGAGGAAGAGCAAAGAGCCCAGAACAGTCTGACACTCTGTCAAAGAGGGGACATCAGAATGCT